TGAGTGAGTGTGTGAGTGAGTGAGTGTGTGAGTGAGTGTGTGAGTGAGTGTGTGAGTGAGTGAGTGAGTGAGTGTGTGTGTGAGAGAGAGAGAGAGAGAGTGTGAGTGTTTCTGTACCTGTCCGATGCACACGGTGACAGCAAGACCTCCTGGACCCACACTGACACACTTGGGCTGCATGTCCATCTTCACTACATCAGACGCACTGACACACACACACACACACACACACACACACACTTAATATCCAGCGGTATCGTGGACTTGATTGCACAGATACTATTTAAACTGAACTGAACTGGATGATGACATCACTGAATTCAGTGATGAACTGCCTTTAACTCAAAATTGAGTGTTTACTATTGTCATTTCGCATTGACAATATTTTCCTAATTAATACTGTAAAGCTGCTTTGACACAATCTGTATTGTACTGTGTATATATATATAAAGGTGACTTGACAGAGCAGGTGAGCTTCAGCAGGTGTCTGGTAACAGGTGTGTGTGTGTGTGTGTGTGTATGTATGTGTTATTAGGGCTGTCAAAATGGCTGAAAAATAAATTCAAATTTTCTACTTAAATATCAATATTCGAATTATATTCTAATTTAAAAGGCATAATTTCAGTTAGGGGGGAAAAAAGCTTTTGGCTTTTCTCCTGAGGCCACAAGAGGGCGCATCGAGCAAAATATTATGCACGTTTCTTCAAAGCGTAATAAAATAACACTACTATCTTTGAAAAAAAGTGCATAATATTTCAATTAATGTTTATAAACCTTATATAATTAAAGCTGCTTAAACAATTAGAACCAAAACAGCATCATACATGCATGCATGTATAGTAGGGGTCGACCGATATGTGTTTTTTCAGGGCTGATGCCGATACCGATAATTACAGATCAAGTAGACCGATAACCGATATTTTGAACCGATATACATGTCTGGTGTAAAAATGAAAATGTCAAAATTAAGAATAACAAGGGCTCTGACAAAAACTGGTGTTGGTTGAGTGTAGTACTCCCAAAGTAAACTCTATTTTAAAGCGTTAAACTCTTTATTTTTGGCAAACAAAGGGTTTATTAAAATTAAAACATGGAAGAAATAGCGTATTGTGTGATTATTCTTTTAAACAAAAGTTGTAATAATTGTTGTAGTACTCAGGGGTTAAAGCAAAAAAAAAAAAATCTTTTGACTGAAAATGTTTCCTCGGCTTAACCCCATTCCTCAGCCATACCTGTCACACACCCAGTTTAAGAGCAGTGCTTTTCTTCTTGTAATCAGGAGTGCTTGTCCTCCTAATTTAAAAAAAAAAATGGAGCACCTTCTGATCAATAATCAAATTCTGATCAAAAATTAGCCTTCCTAATATGAGGTGAAGTGATTAACAGGGGCATTTTCTTCTTACCTTTGCAATGGCATCATTTTCATCTGTCAAGTTCAAAATGTATGTTTATAAGCTTTTTAAAATTTCTATTAAAACCAAAATAATAAGTAGAATAAGACATAAGTTACCAATCATATGAAATTAGTATTAATAAAAAATGTATTTGTACTACAAAGGGTGCACAGAAGAACACAAAAGTGGCTTGTAGGTAGGTTTTCAGACGTTTAATGAGGCTCAGAGGTAATTAAATTCATAAATTCATGTGGAAATTAATGTTTTAAATATAAAATTTTTAATACAGAAATATTAAATGGATTTAAATAACTGAAATTATACCTAAAAATGAAACTAAATCCGCCAGCAGGTGGCGGCAAGTCACTGATTTTATCTCCGAATCATTCATTCAATTGATTCGTTTGAACGGCTGATTCATTCAGGAATGAAGCACGTGACTGTCTTTATGAATGTGTGATCATGAATCACTGACTCACTAGATTCTTTCAAAAACACACTTTCATTCATGAATTAAATACCTGTGTTTGCTTTTAGAGATGTGAAGCGGCTGAGCTGTTACTATATTTGGAGCTATTTTCGTTGATGAAATAGAGCAAAATCAGGCAGTAGCCTACTTGTTTATTGAACTGTTGTATTAAAAATCAATATCACATTTGCAAAACTCCTTTAATAATTATTAAAACCTGTCACTCTCCTTATCGCGATCTGTGGGCGCACAGAAAATGAAAGTGCGCAAGTGAGTTCTCGAGACTCAAAAGCACGTGCAAATGATAAACGAGGAACCTGCGGGAATGAGTATAATTATTATTAATAGCCGCAATCCTGCGCCTGAAACTCAAGCCCTGCTCTGTGTTCTCTGCTAATAACCCGACTGTGCATGATGCGAGGCGTTATGTTGTCAGTGAGAAGCTGCAGCCGTGGCGGGGGGGATGTTTGGTGTGCTGGTGTTCTGACAAATAATGCTACCTATCAGATTATGCTACCAACAAATCGCCAGAACACCGGCAGAACAACAACAATGTGCTACATGTTTCTTTTCCCCTCATTTGTTTTTTCAATTGATGGAAATCCGTCGTAGCGCCGGAAAACTTTCATCCCGGAGTAGTATTATGTACATCATACTGCAGCACAGTAATATATTTCTGATAATTTCTTTAAGCTAACACGAACTTATATTTTGACGGGTTGCCATGAGGAACGTGTTTCTGTAGGTCTATGTAAATGATATGAAGACAGTTTTACTCCAATGAAACTGTCAAATGTTCATGAAGTGACTCTCGGAGGGATCAGAGCAGTTCTGGAGATGTTGTTCATGTATTTATGTCCTCATGTAGTGATACGACAGAAGCTGAAATCAGCGTGAGCATCGCACACTCTGTATGTGTAGAAAACTCGTCTGTGCCGTTTACATACACAGACACGCAGAACATACTGGATCCATATTTAAATAGTATTTTTGCGGCTTAATATTTACAGATACTAGTCCATATCGCGACTCTATTTAAGTGTACTGTCCTACTTTTGATTAATTCATCCAAATTTTGACAAATTCCGTGACATTCCGCATCATACAGTAAATTTAATTTATATGACTGGATTCCGCGATTCCATCCGCGTTTTCTGCATCGCGGAAATAATACTATTGAGGTGTTTTGCAACTTCAGTGTAACGTTAGTGGATTGGGATCTATTGCACCTTTAAGCAATGTCTGCTGTTGCCTTACCTTTGAGAGACAACGGATGCGTGATCACTGAAGCAGCTGCAGTTAGCAAGCGCTTTCGGAGTGAGAGTGAATTCCGCTTTGATTGGTCAGACTCGTGACTCCCAACAAATCAGATGAGCGGTGAGCGGAGACTGCTTTAGGCCACAGAGTGGTGAGTTCTGACAGGCTGCATCACAGCCAAATAGCGCATTTCAAAATTAAGTTATTTTATCGGCGAATCGGTTTTGAAAATGACCGATACCGATAATCATAAAAATGCTTAATATCGGCGCCGATAATCGGTCGACCCCTAATGTATAGTTTAATACAAAGGTCCGATAACCAATCACAAAGAGTAGGCTACTTTCTTCATTTAAAAACATAAGATGAAGTGGGATGGGAAAACCGCCATAATGTCTTGAGACACGTTTTTAAAAAGTTGAACTTATATTAATTTTCCATGGCTTTCTAGACATGCCGCTCTCTTGTGCGAGACGCGAGTGCAACACTGATAGATGTCCCTCTAGAAAATGCAATAAATGTGTGGCTTGGTTTCAGTTTTGACAAACAACATTATCTCCGCATTGATGTTCTCTTTTTCTGCAATATTTTGAATGAACAACGTAGCAGCGCCACATTTAGTGGCTTCAACTGGATAGACTAATAAAAGCATTCAAATGCAATGACACTTACGTCGTCGTCACAGTTTGTGCTTCACTGATAAGCTGCCTGATGCACACCGAAAATTCGAATGCAATGTTTTGGCATTCGAATGTGGGCTTTTATTTTAAATTCGACGAATATTCGAAATTCAAATTTGTCTTGACAGCCCTAATGTGTGTGTGAGGCTCACCTGTACTCTCTCTTGCTCAGGTCGGTGTAGCGGACCGTGTCGTCCATGCTGCAGGTCACCAGATGCTCGGACTCGTCCACAGTCATCCTAACAAATCGCCAGAACACCGGCAGAACAACAACAATGTGCTACATGTTTCTTTTCCCCTCATTTGTTTTTTCAATTGATGGAAATCCGTCGTAGCGCCGGAAAACTTTCATCCCGGAGTAGTATTATGTACATCATACTGCAGCACAGTAATATATTTCTGATAATTTCTTTAAGCTAACACGAACTTATATTTTGACGGGTTGCCATGAGGAACGTGTTTCTGTAGGTCTATGTAAATGATATGAAGACAGTTTTACTCCAATGAAACTGTCAAATGTTCATGAAGTGACTCTCGGAGGGATCAGAGCAGTTCTGGAGATGTTGTTCATGTATTTATGTCCTCATGTAGTGATACGACAGAAGCTGAAATCAGCGTGAGCATCGCACACTCTGTATGTGTAGAAAACTCGTCTGTGCCGTTTACATACACAGACACGCAGAACATACTGGATCCATATTTAAATAGTATTTTTGCGGCTTAATATTTACAGATACTAGTCCATATCGCGACTCTATTTAAGTGTACTGTCCTACTTTTGATTAATTCATCCAAATTTTGACAAATTCCGTGACATTCCGCATCATACAGTAAATTTAATTTATATGACTGGATTCCGCGATTCCATCCGCGTTTTCTGCATCGCGGAAATAATACTATTGAGGTGTTTTGCAACTTCAGTGTAACGTTAGTGGATTGGGATCTATTGCACCTTTAAGCAATGTCTGCTGTTGCCTTACCTTTGAGAGACAACGGATGCGTGATCACTGAAGCAGCTGCAGTTAGCAAGCGCTTTCGGAGTGAGAGTGAATTCCGCTTTGATTGGTCAGACTCGTGACTCCCAACAAATCAGATGAGCGGTGGGC